TGGAGGTACAATATGAGCCTCCTTGTGTTTTTGAGTAAATAGCTGGCAATTTAAAATACAATGGAGTTCATCATAAATGGCATCTGTGAAAACCGCAGCATTTTAGTGCACAGACTCACCCAGCCAGCAGCAACAAACCAGCCTGACAGCGCTTCGCTTCTAGTTGTGGGAAAATACCTTAGAAGTAAGTCAAGTCAGGCTTCTAGCTCACAGTGTGGAGGTGCGAAAGTTGACATCCCTCACAAGATGTGACTCAGCTTGTGTCCTCACTTTATGCCATCGGGGACCCCAGCCTACGGGATGGTGGCACCCACACTCAGGACAGAGCCGCTCACAACAGCAAGAGTCTAGATAATCCATCACAAGCTACTGGCAATTGATGGCTGCTCTGGGAGAGAAAGTAACACTTTTCCCTAGGGATAACGTGACATCAGATGAGCTGCCCGTACTCCAGGGCATGGCCCTACACCCATCACATGCTGGCAGTACTAAGCGGACTTGGTAAGTTTTTAAAAAGTTCTTAAAGTTGGTAGGGAAAACTGGTGGGGGTATAGGAGGAGGCTGAGAGGAGGAAGTAGGCATGTATTTGATCAAAATGCATTATATGCAAGTAGAAATTCTCAAACACTAAGTTTTTTTGAGACAGGATTTCACTGAGTAGCCAGCCCTCTCAAACTCAGAGAACTACCTGCCTCTGCCCCACAAGCACTGGGATTAAAAGCGTGCGCTACCACATTCTGGCACAAACAATAATTTAAATATTTTTACTTTTTTGGAGACAGGGTCTTACTATGTAGACCTGGTTGGCCTGGAATTCACTCTGTAGACCAGGCTGCCTCTGCCTGGGGTTAAACATATAGGCCATTATTAAAGAAAAAGGAAAGGAAAAGATAATCCCTCAGATGTTCTCAGAGTCTCCCCTTTTCAGTAATTCCAGATCCTGTCTAGTTTACAAACAAAACCAAACAACACTAAAATGGTTATTCTTTGTATTAGTAATTTGTGTTTATTTACCCCCCCCTTAAATACCCAAAGGCCTATTCTATAATTTTCCACTGAGACAAGGCATGAAACATAAGCACTCCAACTAGACATGATTTCTGCATAAAACAGTATTAGGACAGGTATGGTAGTGCATCCTGATAATCACCACACTTCAGAGGCTGAGGCAGAAAGAGCTCCTGGTCAAGCTCAGTCCAGGCTTTCTGAATTTAAGGCCGTCGTGAGTCAAACAGTGCAATCTTATAAAAAAAAACAAAACAAACAAACAAAGAGCCAACAAGGAGCAGTCTTAGCCTACTGTTACCTCACCCCACATCAGTCGCCATTTATTCCTCTTGTTTTAAATATTTTATAAGTTAATATGCAATAGGTTTTCAACTGGTATAAGTGACTTCTCTGAGTCCAATTCCTAATCTGCCAAATCTAGATAATCATGTCACCTTGCCTTGTATGTGTGGAGACACACACACACACACACACACTCACACACACACACACACACACACTCACACACACACTCACACACACTAAACGGGGGTGGGGGGGTTAGGGGTGGGGAGGTGGAGAGAGAGAGAAGGCCAGACACCAATATTAGGTGCCTTGCTCTATCATTCTCTAATTTCTTTTTATGTTTCTTTTCATTCTTTCTTTCCTTCCTTCTTTCCTTCTTTCATTTGAGACACAGTCTCCCTGTGTAGCCCTGGCTGTCCTAGAACTTACTCTGTGGATAAGGCTGGCCTTGAACTCACAGAGATCCACCTGCCTCTGCCTTCCAAGTGCTGGGATTAAAAGCGTGTGCCACCATACCCAGCTAGGCTTATTTTCTTTTCTATATATGACTATTTTTCTTACATGTATGTCTGTGAACCATATGTGTGCCTGGTGCCCAGAGAGGCCAAAAGAGGGCACGACACCCTCTGGAACTGGAGTTATGGTAGGTTGTGAGACGCCATGTGGGCACTGGGTTCTCAGCAAGAGTAAACATAACAGTGAAACCATCTTTCTACAATTCCACATTATTATTATTTATTATTATTTAGATAGGGTCTCTTACTGGGTCCAGAGCTCACTGACTGGCTAGGTTGGTTGGCCAGAAAGCTCCAGGGATGTGCTTGTCTCCCTGGTGCTACAGTTACAGACATGTGCTATTATGTATAGCTACCACGTGGGTGTGGGTCAGAAGTCAAGTCCTCATGCTTCTTTGGTAGGCACGTTACCAATGGAGCCATTGTCCCAGCACTCAGAACAATTTTTTAAAAAGCACTGATTAGTTCCAGGACAGCCAGGGCTCCACAGAGAAACCCTGTCTCGAAAAAAACAAACAAACAAAAAAAAAAACAAAACAAAATAAAAAGGACTGATTATATATCTCAAAACATTAAAAGGGGCTAGTGATGCAGCTGAGTTGGTACAGTGTTTACCTAGCATGCATGATGAAGTCCAGGTTTGATCCCCAACACTGCGTAAACCAACTGTGGAGGGACGCTCATGTAAGTCTAGCACTTGGGCCATAGGTAGTTTGAGACTGCCTCAAAATAAAAGTGGCCAGTTGAGGTGGAACCATGGCTTTAATTCCAGCTCTTGGGAAGCAGAGGCAGAGGGACTGCTGTGTGTTCCAGGCCAGCTAGGTGTCCTTAAGGATGAAGCACTGTGCGGGACATGCTGAGATGCTGGGACGTACCGTAAGTGCAGAGACATGCACTGCTTGGACATCACCCCCGTACTCTTCACAGACCACGTCATACGCTAGGAGCTCTTTCTTTACCTTTTCAGGGTCAGCATCTGTCTTGTCGCACTTATTTATTGCAAGGATAATAGGAACTGGAAGAGAAAGTCACGGAAAGTGCAAATGGAAACTCTTTCAATTCCAGACACTCATTGTGAAAAATACCAGCTTGCTCTGGTTTTCTCTTCATCCAATGAATGCACATAATTAACCAAGGCTGAAAAGAGCCACTTTAGACTCACATTACCTGACTCTCTTGTGTTGCATGGTATTTAATCACATTGTGAACCCCGAAATTGTGTTAAATACAGAAAAAAAACCTGTTTCTAGTTGTGGTGTGGCTCAGCCCTTAGCACACGACTTTAATCCCAAACAATGAAGGTAATGTTAGTTTGTAGAAGGAAGCATTCATGTTTGAAAGTGATGTCTAATTGACCGGCAAAGTGATAAATCAGAGAAAGATTTGACAGAATAGTATATACTCAACTCTCATGAGGAGAGAGAGGAAAGGGAGGCTACTTGAGAGAGCAGTGCAGAGAGAAAGAAGCAGTTTTATTGGAACAGTTGCACAGAGACTGCAGAGAGAACAAGCTAGACACAGGCAAAGACGGAACAAGCAGAGAATAATGAGTCAGAAGATTTGAAGAGATTGCTAGAATTAGTTTGAGGCAAAATGGAGGAATTCAGTAAGAAACTGAGAGAAGCCAGATTGAATGAGTCAGCCTAGAGAGGAGTTTGAGCCAGAACAGCTGAGTGGAACTAGCTAGCTGGAGTTCTGAAAGAACTAGAAAGGAGTGAGCTTATTCAGCAGTAACACTGGTCTTGAATGGTTTTCTTGGTTTTTGTTGTTTTAAAGGACATAAAGCTGGGTGAATGGTGAAGAGGGGAAGATCTGGGAAGAGTCAGGGGAGGAAAAACGAATATGATCAAAATACAAAACTCTCAAAGAGCAAAGAAAAAGATTTCAAAAAGAAGGGTCATTTGTTTTTATTTTATGTGTATGAGTGTTTGCTTGCATATTATATATGTGTGTCACATGTATGCCTTGTATCCTCAGAGGCCAGAAGAGGAGGGTATTGAATCTCTTGAAACTAATAGTTATACATAGTTGTGAACTGCCATAGATGCTGGGAATGAAAAGCAGGCAGGCTGTCTGGGAGAGCAGCTTAACTGATGAGACACCTCCCTAGCTCCCAGAACTACAGTTCTGCTTTGTGTGGTTCATTTTAAGACAGGGTTTCTCTGTGTAACCTTGGTTGTCCTAGAACTTACTTTATAGATCGGTCTGGCCTCTAACTCATAGTTCCCTGCCTCTGCCTCCCAAGTGCTGGTATTAAAGACATGCTCTATTATGCCCAGCTATAATCTTTGTACTAAGTCCTTAAAAAAAAAAAAAAGAAAGAAAGAAAAGAAGAGAAAAGAAAAGAAAAGAAAGAGACACTTCCTACTTAATGGGTCGAGCACAGCACCTTCCATACCTTGTGCATCTTTGGCATGCTGAATGGATTCCACAGTTTGTTTCATCACTCCATCATCTGCAGCTACAACCAACACAACAATGTCGGTAACCTGTGCCCCTCTGGCTCTCATTGCTGAGAAGGCAGCATGTCCAGGAGTATCAAGAAAGGTTATCTTTTCTCCAGAGGGCAGAGAGACTGTGGAAACAGAGAGGCAAGAATATCAATTACTCAGTTTACTTTGTAACATGAAGGAATATACAACATCATTAAACACAGTATTGTGGGGTTTTTCGTTGTTGTTTTTGAGATAGGGTCTTTCTATGTAGCCTTGGCTAGCCTGGAGCTTGATATGTAGAGACTAGTCTTGAACTCACAGAAGTACTGGGATTGAAGGTGTGTGCTACCATGCCCAGCTCAATAATTTAATTTCATTGCTTCCACTAATTTTAACCAGAAGAACACAGTCTGAAATTTCCTAAAGAAATCATATAATACTAGCGAGACCATGAGGTCTTTCTTTTCATGTAATAATTTAGTGCTAAAATTCTCTGTAGTTCTAGAATAGAGCTACTTTGATAAATGTACCAACTGATTACCATTCTGGAGAGAGAACCCACAAACAGTTGTAAGGTGATCACTGTACATCATCAAACTGCAGCTACACAACTATCTCAAGCCACAAAAAGGCAATTTGGTATATAGCTGGAAGCTTCAAATTTAAGTCCAATAATAACAGGTTTAAATCTTAGCTTTGCTATTTACCAGCTGTGTACTTTGGAGAAGTTACAGAGCCTGAAGAAGTCTCACTTTTTACAGATCTTAAGAGCAATCTGAATGCCTATCTCATGATGTTGTGAAGATAAAACTGAGAAAGCACATAAAGTGCTCGCCGCCCAGCCAGGTGCCAGGGGAACACTCAGCGAATGGGAGTTGGTATTCACTTGTTATCAGCAACACTACCTAGCCTACATCTGAGATTTAATATGCATTATTAAAGAAGTTAGGCTCATTAAACCAAAACCAGTAAAATAGCTTTGTCTTTACAGAAAGTCTAAAACAACATTTAGCTGCCTGCACTGCACATGGCCACTCCAGTGGCTGGAAGCAGCCTCTTTGCTTCAGTCTGTTGATTTCACAGCATGGCGTTTAATTAAAGAAACCAAGCGTGGTTCCTATGCACACTGATGTTTGTGTTCATACCAAGAAAAGCACCGATGTGTTGAGTGATGCCTCCGACTTCCATTGCTGCCACTTGAGTTTCTCGAAGTTTGTCAAGTAAGGTTGTTTTCCCGTGATCTACATGACCCATTATAGTTACAACTGGGGACCTGGGTTTTAATAAAGCTGGATCTGCCGGAGGCCTACAATTAACAGCAAAGGAGTTTCATTTCCTAAATATCAGAAATGACAGTGATCGGTTCACAGCTATCACTACAGGCCATCACCGATAACAAAATACAACAGGTTTGATTAGACATAACCATTTCCACCCTTTTTACACAGAACAACCTAGCAGAATAGCCAGTGACTCCATATTTGTTATGAAGCTGGCATCTTCATATTAGTGGGTGGAGCTGAATCAGAATTTAAAATTCAGACTAATATACACAGTTTCATAAAAAGCTGAATGTACTTTCTGGTGCTTTCAATAAATGCTTAGGCTATAGTCACATTCCATTTTAAGCTACAAAAAAAATTTCTAGGCAAATCTTCCCATAAAACACTGAGTAGAAGCAGATGGTTGGTGTTAGCTGATGCACGCTAAGTCTTACCTCCTCACGGCATCTCTATTCTCTCTTATTTTCTCCAGCTTTAATTTGCTCCATTTCAGCTTCATTCCTGCCTTCTTTATAACTTCTTTGATCCAGACTTCATCTAAATGTGAGTTGGCTTCTAGCGAATCTATGTCAATGGCAGTGTTCAATAAAGCTTCATATACATAATCTGGTTGAGATAAAGCACAATCTTTTATAATCATAAATTTAAAGGTTTAAAGTAAGTTCTTGGGATTGGAGAGATGGCTCAGCAGTTAAGAGCACTGGCTACTGTTGTAGAGGCCCCAAGTTCAATTCCCAGCACCCTCATGGTGGCTCCTAACTATCTACAACTCCAGTTCTAGAGGAGTCGATGACCTTTTCTAGCCTCTGTAGGCACCAGGCACACTTGTGGTATACAGACACACATGTGGGCAAAATACCCATGCACATTTAAAAAGAAAGTAAAATAATAGAAATAAATCACTTAAGAATGTGCTTTGTTTTATCTTAATCTGTAAAAATGAACTCATCTGTGGTGGTGATGAAATGTGTAGTTTTGTGTTTTGAAACACAGTAAGACCTTTCCCAAGAACAAAGCAAAAGAAGAGCAATGCGCAAAGATCATTCATTTCAGTGGTGTGCTGGTAACCAGGGAAGTTGTCAATTAAAAGTCAATAAAGAAATTCATAGCATCTCCCAGTTGCCATCCTAGAATCATTCAAACCACCACCAGGGATGCAGTGGATGGGATGGGGAGAGCTGCACACTAGGGACACCACTGTGCTGTGTTCCATCAGACAGACATGATAGGTATTAATAATCCAAAGGCAGTGAAAATAGGAAACAGTGAAAGGAAATTACTAGGCATTAGACCTAGAGTGCACATACACGTTGACATGTACATACAACATATATATAAGTGCAATAAAATTAAGTTTTCATAGTCTTTACTATCTCTGTGATTTCATGGTTTATCTATTTATCTATTTATTATTTATAGAGTCCAGAGTTCATGTAAGTGGGTGCTGAATCCGTAATCCTCCTAGTTCACTTTCCTGTGTTGCTGAAATGACACGCATGTGCAAACAGAGCTGCCTTGTGATTTAATTTTTTAAAAATAGTGTCCTAGCATGTATAGGACCCTGAGTTCAATCTGTAATGCTAGAAAAAAAGGAAGGAGGGAGAGGAAGAGAGGGGGAGGGAGAGGAAGAGGGAGAGAGCTGTAACAGAATCCTTTAAAATGTGTAATTTTTTAAAAAAGAAAAGCTATGGTTATTCCCACAAATATATCTCTGCTGGTCTTAAACAATTTCTCAAATTAGTGACAAAAGGAAATCAGAAATTTATAGAAAAAGAGAAAGAAATCAGGAGCTAGAAAGATGGCTCAGTGGTTAAGAGCACTTTTCCAGAAAGCCAGAGAGCGGCACCCTCAAGGCAACTTATAACCAACTGTAAATCCAGTTCTAGGAGATTCTATACCCCTTTCTGACTTCCTTGGGTACCCAGCATGTGTGTGGTAAAAAGACAAGCAGGCAGGCAAAAATATAAATAAAATACACATGAATCTTAAGAAAACAAAACAAAAGAGTAAAAATATCCCCTCAGTCCAAACAAACAAACAACAATAAATAAATAAATAAATAAACACATAAGTCTGGATTTACACTAACAGTCCCCAAATTTTATGAATTTAAAGTGTTCTTTCTGAGAGAGGGCCTGTCCTGGAACTCACTCTGGATACCAGGCTGGCCTCACAGAGATCCACCTGCCTTTGCCTCCCTAGTGATGGGACTAAAGGTGTGTGCCACCACACTGGGCTATGAATTTAAATTTTTATTTATTTGAATTGTATTTCATGTGTGTGGGTGTTTTGTCTCCATGTATGTCTGTGTAACCTATGCATCCTTGATACCCACAGAGGCTAGAAGTGGGCATCAGAGTCCTTGGAACTGGAGTTATAAAGGTTATAAGCCACCATGTGAGTGCCGAGAACCAAACTGTGTCCTCTGCAAGACCCAGTTTGTTTGTTTGTTTGTGTGGAAGGGTCTCACGATGTGAGAACTAGCTGGCCTAGAGCTGGCCTCTGATTTAAAGCCTCCCAAGTGCTTGGATTAAAGGTGTGTGCCACACAGAAAATCCTGCATATTCACTAAAGAGTTTAGAGAATTACACTTGGCAATGAGTCAAGAAATGATTAAAGCTTGTAATTTCTAAAATGAAAAAAAATCAGTATAATTTATCATTTGAAACACTAGTCCAGCTTACCTGGAATACGTTAATGTTTTCACTGCAAGTAAAATTCTAAGCTTTTAAGGCCCAGAGTTTTCCTTGTGAACTAATCAGGCTCACCTATGTCTTTTGCCATGGCTCTGGCTAGTTCTTCAACAGTCATTCCAATCCATACTTCTACCTCTTTTTTAGTTTTTACTGGAGACAACTGAGATTTCGGTGCTCTTTTTTCCTATTAAAAGACAGAACATACATGTGAGAAGGAAGGAAAAAATATACTCCCAAGACAAGGTTTCTCCACGTAGCCCTGGATGTCCTAGCCTTGAACTCAGAAATTTGTCTGCTTCTGTCTCCCCAGTGCTGGCACTAGAGGTATGAGTCTCAACTCCTGGATGAAGGAAGAACAATTTAAGAAACCAATTAGGTCTATTTTGTAGTAAGTACCACAATTATGGCTATTCCTATCAGCAAACTCTCTTGTAAGTTCTTAAACTAGACAACAATAACCACGGAACTTCCTGTTCTCACACAGATCTGTGTAGACTACAGGCTTACACAGTAATCTAATCTATAAAGGACAAAATACTCAAAGAAGGTTTCTCTACATAGTTCTATAAACTTGGACTTGAGATTAAGTAATGTGAAAGCTATAAATCTGCAATAACCTTCTTTGTTACAAGAAGCCTGTGTGGATGCAAAGCTGAGCCAATGAGCATGTTTGTCCGCCAGGGCCGGGCACATAGCCGATCTGTGCACACTGGGGCAGCCAATGCAAACCCATGCCTCCACCGTGCTAACAGTCTTCTTTGACTTAGGCTGTGCAACTGCCTACAAATAGTGTGACATCGTAGCAAGTTTTCCAACTTCAGGAGCTGCTGGTTCATGCTTCTCCTAGAAAAAAACAATTTTAAAATAAAATTTTGGTTAATATTTACATCAAATGAACAAATATCAACTGAATATTTACTACATGCAGATCACACAAACAAAACTGAGCTTCTGTCCTGAAAGAACTTGTGGTCTAGTCAGAGATGAGATTTTATGCCAAGTACTATTCTGACAATAGCTAGTACTATGCTGTTGTTGTTACTGTAATAAGACTGACAGGCCACAAGAACTGCTTTACAGGGGCAGGGATGCTGCCCACTTGGCAGAGCACTGGTTTTGCATGCACAATACTGTCTTGAGTATGGCACACATGAAATTCTAGCATGTGCGTGGCAGCAGAAGCATCAGGAGTTCAAGGTCATTTAACACATCTGTGGCCTACTTTGGCCACATAAGACATTGTCTACAAACAATAAATGGCTATTTTTTTTTAAATTTTTCAGGGGCTTGTGAATCATAGCATACTTGCCTAGTAGACACAAGAACCTGGGTTTAACTCCTAGTATGCATGAACACAAACAGGCACACACACACACACACACACACACACACTCTTAGATGTTTTAATGTTCATTTTAATCCATTCTCTATACTTACATATTTGTTTATATGAATGAAGTTGTATTATTTTTTTAAGATCTATTCTTATTTTGTGTTTATGGGTGTTTTGCCTGTATGTATGTCTGTGCACCATATGGGTGTAATGCTCCTAAAAGCCAAAAGCATCATATCCCGGAACTGGAGTTACAGTTGTCAGCCACCGTGTGGGTCTCCTGGAAGAGCAGCCAGTACTCTTAACTGCTGAGATGTCTCTTTATCCCCCTACATTATGTTTTAAAATACTTCAGTGGAACATGTCAGCCCATCCTCCTCACATGTATACAGTAAATACACTGAATTGTTGGCATTGAGACATGGACCCACTGTGCTGCCACACTGGCCTGGAACTCACGACCCCCTTGCTTCCTCCTCCTGAGTGCTGGCCTGAGATCCACTCCACCATGCCTTCCCATCAGTATTTTTGGTTTCTTTGTTTTTCTTTTTTGTTTTTTGAGACAGGGTTTCTCTGTGTAGCCCTACCAGTTCTGGAACTCACTCTGTAGAGCAAGTGGGCCGAAAATTCAAGAGATTTGCCTGCTTCTGCCTTCTGAATGCTGGCACCACCACCACCTACCTGGTTTGTTTTTAAAGGAAAGAAATGACAGCCAAGTATAGTGTAGGTGACTGTAATCCCACCACTTGAGAAGTGGAGGCATGAAGGTCAGAAGTACAAGGCCAACTTTGGCTACATAGTGAGTTTGGGCCCAACCCAAGCTTCCTGAGACCTTGTTTCAAAAATAAATACAAAAATAAAATAAAATACATCACATAGTCAATGAGAAGACTCAGCAGGTAAAAGCACTTAATCTTCAAGTTTGACAACCTGGGTTCAATCTCCAGAAGCCATAATAAGATGGAAGGAAAGGCTCAACTCCCCAAAACTGTTCTCAAACCTCTACCTGTGGCCCATGACATGCACACGATATGCCCATACATACACATAACACACATCATACATACACAGAAAAAATACAAGTAAAAGGAAATGAAAGCTGAAAGTGACACAGTTAAGTAGTAGAGAAAGGACCTGATGCAGTATCAAAAAGCCTTGACTGGACACCTCTCACAGACCGGCCAGTATTGTCAAGAAGGAGCAAGTGACTCTTGTCCTATGCACCTCATTTTCCTGAGCTCTGTAAAAAGAAAGTTAAGTATTTCTTTGTAGCCTTTCTATAACAAAGTTACAAAGAAAAAAATGAGATGACAAATGTATTGTTTCTCACTGATGACTTATATGCTTTGAAGATTCACCAGCATGAATGTCAGAAACATTTGCAAGCCACTATCTCCCTCATTTATAGATAATTCTGAGGCTTTGTGTGTGTTTGATATAGTTAGTATTTTACCTCTAAAGACTCATTCAAGAAAGGAAGGATCAAAAGAAATCCTGACTTCAGTCCAAATAAATTAACTAAGATTTAGAAATTCAATCCAGTCCTGCTGGCGCAGGAAACTCCAGGCAAAGACTGGAGGATGACAAGTTCAAAGCCAGTCTTCACTCTTAACTACATAAGGAGCTCAAGGCCAGGCTAGGTATATTAGGCAAACCATCTCTCAAAAGAAAATGCAAGAGAAGAAAAAAGAAGGGAAGGAGGAGGAAGAGGATAAGGGAAGGAGGGAGATGGGGTGAAGGGGCAGGGAAGAGGGAGAAGAGAGAATACACTGCATAACCATGCAAGGGAGCTTAATTCAATCCCCAGTGCCCAGTGCTGGAGGAAAAAAGAAGAGGCCAAAGACATGGCTTTGTTATACAGCACTGGTGCTCTTGAGACAACTGAGTCTAGTTCCAGACATCCAATATGGGCAGCTTACAACTGCCAGTTACTCTAGCTCTACGGGATCCTACACTCTTGTTTCTATGGGCAGGCAGGCTGACAACACACACACACACACACAATATTTTTATTTTAAAAAAATATTTAGAATTTCATATTCAATAATCAGACATTTGCATAATTATCATACACACCTCAAAAAATCATGTTAGGCATTTGCTCTGATCTAGGAAGTAAAAGGAAGTGCTCAGAAAGCATAGGATCCCTTAAATCATTTTTTTTCCTTTTGTATTTTTTGAGACAGGATCTCACTATATAGTCTTTGCTGACCTGGAACTCACTATGTAGACCAGGTGGGACTCGAACTTGGAAATCCACCTGCCTCTGCCTCCCGAGTACTGGGATTAAAGATGTGCACTACTATGCCCATCTTACTTAAATCATTCTTAAATGAGTTGTGAACCAGGGCACAAATTAACGGAATGGGAAAGATTCTATGAGACAAACCAACACAGAGATATGTAATCGAGAAATCAGACACATCAGAAAAATAACCAACATCTCAAACCTGGAAAGAAACCTTGGTTGTTAAATATTCCAACGCCTCTCACTTTACAGAGGACGGTGGAATCCAGAGGGGTCACTGTCATTCCCTATGGCCATAAGGTTAGCGGCAACCGGGAACTCAGGCTGACAATTCCCATAGCGGGGAGAGGGTGCAGAGGCTGCAAATGCGTAGCGGCATTACGGAAAAGTCTGAATGGACCAGTAAGAGGTTTTAGGGAGGAAAAAAGTTGTGAAAATCAAACACCGCCGCCGCCACGCGGGCCTCCGGGGAGCGCACCCGGCACTCGTGGGCACTGAAACCCAGGCAAGTGACACTGGCACGCGCGACCACCCTATCGCAGAAACCCCACTCACTCGGCTCCCAGGCGAAGTCGCCCTCCGGACCCAGAACTGTGGGTCACTCAGTCCGTCCCTTCCGCAAGGTCCCCGTGGTGCTTCCGGTGCCACCGGAAGCGGCTTCCCCATGGAATTCCGGGTTGTCTGTGGCTGGTGGAGGTCAACGGTGGCGGCTCCTGTAACCTGCAGCCTTCGGCCCGTGGCCTGCAGCGGGGAGGGGGCGCTCTGCAGTTCCCGCCCTTCCCCAGGAGGGACATGTTCTTCAAACACGCGTGTTTCTAGCTGGAAAGAAGCGGCGGAAGGTGGCTCTAAAGATCTCCAACGGGGTGGCCAGGATGCTCTGGCTGCTGGCCCAGCCCGTTCTCAGTGTGGACTTGGAGGTGTGTTGTCACCTCTGGGCCAGGACTTTATCTGCTGTATGGAATCACGGTACGGGTTTCACAAGATCGTGGGAAGGTTTCAGTGACTTGTTGCGATACCCGGTTCATGTAAACGATTTTCGTTGTTTTTCTTCACATTGGTTGGAGTTTTTTGGTCCATCCTCTGGCCACAGCCATCACCATCTCTTGATGGTGACTCGGTTACGTCTAGCACTATCACAGAGTAATGGAATGCTATAGAAAAGTTTCTTACCCCAAAGCACGCTTTACCAATATCACCTATTGTTTACCCTAACTCAGGCCCCTCAGCCCACACACACAGATATATATATTGAACTCAGGAACTCAGGCTTGGCAGTAAGCCCCTTTACCCAGTTAGCTATCTCACTACCCTTCCCCCTTTCCACCACAAAGATTCACAATCAGTATTAATGACTAGAGACTCCTGGAAATCTTTTTTATCTGAATCTCCCTTAAGCTTACACTGAAAAATGACTCTAGTTCATAAACATCTATTGAAGTTCACTTTTTTTTTTTTCTTTTGGTTTTTTAAGACAGGGTTTCTCTGTGTGGCCCTGGCTGTCCTGGAACTCACTCTGTAGACCAGGCTGGCCTCGAACTCAGAAATCTGCCTGCCTTTGCCTCCCAAGTGCTGGGATTAAAGGTGTGTGCCACCACCGCCTGGCGAAGTTCACTTTCTGTAAGCAGTTCTTTGCTCTCACTTGCTTTGGCAGGCATTGAGAAACCAGCAGAAATAATGTTGTATGCCTACTAAAATTAATATCCAACCACCTGTCCATTTGCTTGCACCTGGATGTTCCCTTCACCTCTACAACCTCAACCACATGGCCTTTTTGCAGTTCAAACTCTGTCATCATTCCAGCCAACCTCCAGCCTGGGTGCATTGTCTTTTCCTCACAGACACTCTTTCTGTCCGTTAGTTTTCAGCTTCTGCTTCTCAGGCCTCTTTGAAAGTCCTTAACTTGGCTTTAAACCTTTGCACATCCTTCAGCCTTTGTGGCCATTCTTTAACCTGTAGTGGAGATCTAATAGAATCACTGTATCTCTGGGCAAAGATCAGAATGAATAGTTGTTTTCTTGGACCTTGAAGAAATCACTGTAGAAAACGGTTGGGGTTCAGGAATTGCCACACAAACCATCGGAATATGGATCTCAGTTAAGCAAGAATAGTTTATTGAATGCACATCCTAATACTAGTCAGACCAGGGATATAGCTCAGAATTATCTGAACTATGACAACAGATATCTTTTTCTATTAGCTTATAAAGGAAAAAAACACAATGAATTCATTCGCAGGTGCAGGAAGTGCTGGCCACTGGGCAACTCAGACTGAAGATATTTTAGACATAACAGTTCATATTGATCTTTAACTTGAAGGGTCCTACGTGAGGCTTTGTGTAATTTCTTAAGATTAACAAACCTCAGAACATAACAGGAGATGCAGTCAGCATGATCCTTTTCTGAGTCAAGGTATTATTTTTCTTTGTCAATGACTGGCAGGCATATTACAGCAACCCTATAAAATAGCTGGTGAGCATGGAACAAAATGGCTACAGCTATGCTAGGGGTGGTTCGGGGAGGTCAGACCATCACAAAAACAATGATTATTTTCTTTTATCTATGGAGTTGTTTTTCTGAAGGAGCTTTACAGCCTTTGCATAACTTTGGTTACAAGCTGGTCCTGGCAGACCTGGAGCATCTTGCATTATTTGGTACTGGAAACAGTGTACAATAAGGACTATATTTATAGGAGGCGTGATGTTTTCCTTCAGGAATCATATAGATATGATAAGGGGTGTTAAAACAAAATCCTAATCGTTTGATTTTACCAAATGAAGACTCAAGATCCAGATGCTGGGGTAAAAGCCTATTAGCTAAGAAAGGCAGAGAAAGAACTCAGATGACCTTCCTCCTCTACTGACATCTCAGAAGGAAAAAGCCAGTTCTCCACACTGTCTGAAAAACCCTTCAAACCAAATGTCCTCTCTCTTTCTTGTAGGTCTCTCTATCCATCCTCCTGATTTACTCTGACTCATGTTTTTGTTTGTTTGTTTTGTTTTTTTTCCATATGTTCATTCCCATCAAGAGGCAGTTACTCTGAACCACACCACAACCAGAAACAGGTTTTTCCAGTATACAATCTTGGGATTCACAGTGTGATCAGATATCCTGCAACACAGGGGCTTTGGTATGAAAACTTGTCTTACCCCCAGACCAGCTTTGTTCAACAATCAATAAATATGCCTTTGAAGTTCAAGATCCAGTCAACAGTACAGAGGATGGATCTCCCTGCTGCCAGCAAGGCTTTAATTCATCCTTGAATGACCCTTTTTCTTTGATTGTCCTGTGTGGACTCAGAACAGCAGACTGTAACTTATGTATATACACATACAGATGTATTTACTGGGCATTGTGTAATATGTGATGTGAGAATTAATGTTAGTAGTTAAGACTGTAAAAGGGAGGTGGAGAGATGGTTTACTGGTTAAAAGCACCGGATGAACCAGGGACCTAGGTTCTATTCCCAGCACTCACTTGGCAGTTCACAGCTGTCTGTGACTCCAGTTCCACAGAGACCTGACCTCTGTATGCATGTGGTATACTACAGTCAGGCAACACGCATATACAGGAAATAATTTATTTTTTCTGTTTTTTTTTTGAGACAGGGTTTCTCTGTGCAGCCCTGGCTGTCCTGGAACTCACTCTGTAGACCAGGCTGGCCTTGAACTCAGAAATCCACCTGCCTCTGCCTCCCAAGTGCTGGGATTAAAGGTGTGTGCCACCACTGCATGACAGGAAATAATTTTTTATAAAAAAAAGGAACAAAACTTACAAGATGAGTTTCTGATGAGTTTTATTTAAAAACGAGATTGGAAGAAAACCACAGGCCAGTGAGATGGCACTTGTTCCGAAGCCTGATAGTCTGAGTTTGATACCTGGAACCCAGTACTGGGAAGGGAAGGATAGAAGAGACTCCTGTAAGTTGTCCTCTGATCTTCACACATCATACACACACACACACACACCTTGCCACATACATTTAGAAAGAACTTGAAGGAAAGCAGGACTTCTTGGTAAATTGCTGCCAATAAAACCACTGTGTCTTGTGAAAAAAAATTTTTAATGGCTAGAGACAGCAAATGTGCTGGGAACAAAACTCTTATATTTTGGGTTGTGAGTCTATTCTTTAATTGATGAGCCATCTCTCCAATCCTTGTTAACTTAATATTATGCAATAAATTCTGCCATTTTGAAGGATGTAAAGGTTTGTTTTTGACAGTGTACTCAGGAGGCACCTCAGATTCCCTAGTAGATCAAGCTGATTTCTCCCTTACTATAGGAGCCAATTTATCTTCCAAGATGAATCTTCTTCATAATCTTTAGAAAGCTTTTCCTGGAATGGGGCTAGGGAAAGTGGTTTTGGATTTCTCTTTTTAATCTAAGAGACAAATGTAAGCCATCTGCTCATGCTTACAAGAATTTGTTCGAAGCAACCGACTTAAAAAAACATGTCCTGATGGTGGTGATGCACACCTTTAATCCCAGCACTTGGGTACAGAGGCAGGCAGATCTCCGAGTTCAAGGCCAGCCTGGTCTACAGAGCTAGTTCCAGGACAGCCAGGACTACACAGAGAAACCCTGTGTAGAAACAAGCAAACAACAAAAAGTATTTTAGTTTATGTGTGCTTGTGTATGCATATGTGCATGTGGGTGCTGGGTGTGGCCAGAAGAGCATACTGGTTCCCTGGAACTGAAGTTACAGGTAATTGTGAGCCACCAGACATGGGTGGGTGCTAGGATCCCAACTCCATTCTTCTGAAAGAATAGCCTGTGTTCCTAACTCCTGAGACACCTCTCCAGACCCCCAGTTTGTTTTCCTAGTGCAGTCATTCCTAGTGTAGTACATTTTTTAAAAAGAATTATTTATTTTATGTATATGAAGACTGCCACTGACTTCAGACGCTCCACAAGAGGGCATCAGATCTCACTACAGATGGTTGTGAGCCACCATGTGGTTGCTGGGAATTGAACTCAGGACCTCTGGAAGAGCAGTCAGTGCTCTTAACTGCTGAGCCATCTCTCCAGGCCATGTTATACATTTTTTTGAAGCAAAATCACACTACCCATACTCTTTTCAACATTTACTATATCCTAAAATATTAATATGATTGACAGCATAGATTCATTAGGAAAATTTCAATTAATTTAACAGGCTCTTTTGCCAGTAGACATTTCTCCTGCTTTTCCCGAATGTTGTATAGGATCTTTTGTGCCTAGCTTTAGCCCTGTCTCTACTCACTAGCCCTTCTACTAGATATCCATTGATAATGCCACAGGACACACTGCCTTTTATGGGGACACCCTCCTCCCATACACTTCTGGAGTTTCCTCAGCTAGACCACTGGCAAACTTCAAGACATCATCTTCCCCTAATTCCTTCCCAGTCAGGGTTCCCAAAGGATTCTGATAGTGTATAACTAGACACATTTTCTTTAATCCATACTTATTAAATATTTCAGTTTCTCTCTGTGTGTATGCATGCGCACACATGCCAGACAGCCAGATTTTAAGAGCGGAAACCATACATTTTATGTGCATGCAACATATTTACTAGAGTACACTGAAAGATACGTTGAAATAGGTAACAGAGCATTAAAAACTAGTACTGTCTGACTTGCCGTCTGGGGTAGGACAGTTTTCAACCTACCTCTCTCAGATCTGCCCTTATTTAATTCCATATTCAGGATTAAGATCTTTCACCTAATACAAACAGTGAAGTCTACTCTCTGGGTGTCTATAAATGTCACACCTTTTCAGGCCTTTGATTTCCTTTGGCAGGTAGGGCTAGATCTATAGTTTTTCTTTCACCAAAACCAGACAATAGGGTCCTTTGATTCTTTTACCCCTTCAGTGTTCCTCTCCACAAACTGTCCTTTCTGCCAAATGCCACAGTTACGTTACTAACAGCAAGTCTCCCTTAATGCCATCTTGTGGAAATGCTACAGACTTATTCTTTTTTTCCCCTTTAAAAACAATTTCTTAGCTTTTACTTTTCAGAGTCACTCCTGGGTAACTATTTCCTCAAGTTCATTCGAGGTACTTTTCATTTCAACTACTTCCTGTTGTCGTCATTGTAAAGTTCATATTGAATTTGACTTGAGGACACACAGCCTTAAGTACAGTGTTTCTTTGTACTAAGTACAATTTTCACACAGATGTGTGTTGAGGTATAATGATAATGTGTGAATGATACTGTAGTTATTTCAACACACACAGATTAAGTTAGTTCTATTTTACAATATAAACCTCTGATGACAAAACTTTTGATACAAAATACTTATCGTCCAGTTACAGGTAGACTAAAGAAGTGATTATTATAGACTAAAGGGTAAAAGTAGTACTTCGGGAGGGTGAAGGATTTCAGAAACTAAACTGATGGATAGCTGCATTCAGGGAGGCACTCTGAGCTTACATAGCTGATAGATAGATGGTCAGATAGACCACAGTGTAAGCACTTTCCATTTGTGACTCCTTTTCACCCAAGAGATTTCAACATGCTCATAAAACAGGTATACAAATCAATATTTACTGATAATAAATTTTAATACTTTGGTATGCACATATTTTGTCATTTATTAATGAATGAAAAGTTATGTACCAATATGATAAATGGACTTTATTCTTACATATGGGATTGAATTTTTAGGAATAATTGATCATGCAGAAATTGGAGAATCTTCAGTGTTTTTCAGAATTGATCAATATTTTGGTTTATTTTGTGATCATCAATAGTGAGACTAGCCATATGGGAGCTAGGAACACAGGTCCTCTGTAAGAACAGCAAGTACTCTCTTAACCAATGAGCCATCATTTCAGCCCGGAATTAAACAATGTAGTGGTTTGAAGATGCTTGGCCCAGGAAGTGGCACTATTAGGAGATATGGCCATGTTGGAGGAAGTATGTCATTGTGGGGGTGGGCTTTGAGAGACCTTCTTCCTAGTTGCCTGGAAGCCAGTCTTCTCCTTTTTGCCTTCAGAACAAGATGTAGAACTCTTAGCTTCTCCAGCACCATGCCTGCCTAGATGCTGCCATGCTCCTGCCTTGATAATGGACTGTAAGCCAGCTCCAATGAAATGTTATTCCCTTATAAGAGCTGCCTCAGTCATGTCGTCTCTTCACAGCAATGAAACCCTAAGACAAACATCCTTAATTGTTTTTTTTAATTTTTGAGACAGGATTTCACTCTTGTCATGGCTTGCCTGAAATTATGTGTAGGCTGGCCTCCAACTCACAGACCTATATCTGCCTCTGCCTCTTGAGTGCTGGGATCATAAGTATGTGCTATCATGTTCAGAAAAATAAAACAAATGCTTTATTGCTGGAGGTTAACTTTCTAAACTTAGACCAGGAAAACTTAGAAAAAAAAATCATATTTGGCTACATAAGAAACTTCTGTAGATGCCGGGCGATGGTGGCGCACCCCTTTAATCCCAGCACTTGGGAGGCAGAGGCAGGTGGATTTCTGAGTTCGAGGCCAGCCTGGTCTACAGAGTGAGTTCCAGGACAGCCAGGACTACACAGAGAAACCCTGTCTCGAAAAACAAAAAAAAAAAACCAAAACAAAAACTTCTGTAGATAAAATCAATCTAAAAAGAGAAAAAAAGTGAAAGGAGGGAGGAGAGTAAACAAATCCAGGAGCCACGCCCCTCTTACACTTTTTTCTCTCTTATATTTTGATTAAATTGATTTTTATTTAAATCAGTGGTTTTTAACCTGTGGGCTATGACACCTCTGGCAAACTTATATTTCCTGAAATATTTACACCATGACTCATAACTAAAAAAATTAGTTATACGGTAGTAATGAAGATAATTTTATGGTTGGAGGTCACTATAACGTGAGAAGGATACTAAAGGGTTACAGCATTAGGAGGGTGAGAACTATTGGTCTAGTATGATCCAAAAATATGAACAAAATTAGTTCAAAATGGGGGGAGGGAAATAATAATCATGAGAAAATCTAGGTCTGCTAATCAGAAAAATGAAGAGCCCAAAGATCATTAAAGTGGTAGGCATGGTTGACATACACTTTAGTTCCAGCACTGTAGGCATGGCTGACACACACTTTAGTTTCAGCACTGGGGGGATGAATTAGGCAGATCTCTGGGAGTTCCATGCCAGTTTGTTAATTTTTCCAAACACCCCCCCCCAGAAAAATGCTTATTAAGCAATAAAATATTTCTTTGACCAAAAGTTATCTCCTAAAGATCCTGTCAAAAATGTAATTAAAGTTTGGGTCAGCAAGATGGCTCAGTGGGTAAAGGTACTTGCTGTCAAGCCTTATGCTCCGAGTTTGATTCTGCAACCTGATCAGTTGAAGGAGAGAACTGATTCCCACAAGTTGTCTTCACACACATACAGAGAAGTGTTGGTGTGCACTAGGTTAATTTACTCATTGCTAATAAATTTAGAGTAAGTATTTTGTATTTATTTATTTATTTATTTATTTATTTATTTTGGTTTTTTGAGACAGGGTTTCTCTGTGTAGCCCTGGCTGTTCTGGAACTCACTCTGTAGACTAGGCTGGCCTCAAACTCAGAAATCCGCCTGCCTCTGCCTCCCGAGTGCTGGGATTACAGGCGTGCGCCGGCCCGGCTGCTGTCAAGTCTTATGTTCTGAGTTTGATTCTGCAATCTGATCAGTTAAAGGAGAGAACTGATTCCCACAAGTTGTCTTCACACACACAGAGAGAAGTGTCGGTGTGTACTAGGTTACTCATTGCTAATAAATTTAGAGTAGGTATTTTCATAAACAATTTAGAAACCAAGATTCACTAACGAACATCATCAATATGGAAGTGGCTAAAATTTTGATTGAGGGTTGGTGGATTGCTTGTGATCATGGGTTCCATTCTCTGCATCCAATAAACAAATGATTATTATCCAGCTACATGAAATATTTACTAAAGTAGGAAATAGGTTTGGAACAGGAAAATGTTCATCAGTTAAAAAAAAAGCAGGATAAAAAACTGTTTATTTATGAGGCTTCAATTGTCTAATGAACATGTAGACATACAAAACAAAGAATGAATGCAGGAATGGGGAAGGCTCCTGTGATCATGATGGTGGCGGTGTTCAAGATGAGCTAGATACCAGTCTGTGTACCATGAGGCCATGACTCAATAAAAAAGGAGAATAGAACATCACAGTGCTGTCTTAAGCGAGACTTTAAAGGGGCCTGTGGAGATGGCTTTATGTTTAAGAGCACTGGTTGTTCTTCAGAGAACCTGGGTTTGCACCCACATGGTAGGTAGTTCATGACCATAATTAACTCCAGTTCCAGGGGATCCTACGCCCTCTTTTGGTCTCCAAAGGTGGTGCAAACACACACAGGCAAAAATATTTTTTTTAAAAAAAAGTTAAACTAAAAAGTTTAAAAATTTTGCAATCCTGAATTTTGAGCAAAACTGTAAACACAACTTTGACTTCCTCTTTTGTAGCTTCTTCCAATACTGGGTAAGTCATGGGTCACTTTCCTGTTGTTAGGCCGAAACAAATCCCTGCTCCTTAGTCTGCCCTTCTTTCTCTACCCCACGGGCAGAGAAAGCTCCAGGCCAACGTGGTGCATTTGTGGCAACCCACCACCCAAGAGTGTCTGCCTAGGCTCAGTTTTTGACCATATATGTACACACTATCCCAACTCCTATTATCCTATTATCATTCCTTGCCTAAACTCTGTGAAACCCTCGTGTTTAAGACCAAATGTGTGACTTTACTGACTTCCACCTGTCAGATTGGTGGGTCCACCCAAGAGCTACTTCCTAGTAAAACCGCCTTTATCTTCATTTAATCTGGTCTAATCTGGCTCTATTTGTGTCACCGAGGGAGAGAAAAGCCTACCATCTATGTCTAAAGAGGGTTTCTTTTTCAGATCTTCACTATTCACTCCAGAATAAATAAAATTAGTTTATATTAAAGTTAAATATCTCTGAGTGTACCAGTGTTTCATGTCGGATGTGAGCCTTAATTTAAAAATTTAAGTGAAACACTAATGTGGAATTTGAACCTTAATCAAAACAAGTGGTCTCAACATGGTTGCAAATCCGAGGCCAAAAGATATCACAACGACTGTGAATCGTCGCAGTACTGTTCCCTAATATCAAAATATGAGGCAGCACTGGCTGCTTTTCTAGAGGACGAGTTCGGTTCCTAGCTCCTACAAGTCTCACCATAACTCCAGTTCTAGGACATCGGACACCCTCTTTGGGCCTCCTCATGCACTGCTCACACGTGGTGCACAGCCATGCCAGCAGGTAACTAATGCCCATACACATAACATTTAAAAAGAAAAGTAGAAAGTCGTATGTTACAAACAAGTTGAGGCACATGGCCGCGGCCTCAGGACGAGCAACAGAACCCGGAGCTTTCTGAGGGCGGCACTGGCCTCTCAGGTGGCTGGGGGTGTGGCTAAGAGCACTGGGCTGTGCACGGATGGGCTACAGAGCTGTGCCAGGGCGGAGCAAGCAGGCATCACCACGCCCCAGAAGCCGCGGCACTTCCGGCAAGCCCTCTCTTCACCCTACCGACGTAGCAGGAAAATGGCAGGCTCGGAGCTGAGGGCGGCGTTAGAGCAGAAGCTCGGCGCTCTCAACATTCGCACGGAGGTCATGGAGCATCCCGAGGTGAGGCTGAGACTCCAGGAAGGCCGAGGGCCTTCCGCTGCAGCTGAGACCCGGAACCGGGGGACGTAGGGCGAGTGTTTATTGGGTCCAAGCAGGGACTTACAAGTCTATTTGAAACTGCGCTAACCTCGAGGAAACTTGTCTTGGGATGAATGATGTGACTTAAAAGCGAGTCGGATAGCTGGCACGTTATGCAGATGACTAAGCAACAAGGCACCACGTTAAGTGACAACCCTATAGAATCCCCTAGGCTGTATCTGGTACCAAAGGCACAGCAGGTCATTCAGGTGGCTTGGTTTTTACTCCTTTGGTCAGTTGTTACCACTGCAGCAAGCCAAAGATCCTTTCCCAAATAATAACAAAAAGTATATACCCCTGGGTCTGGAGAATTGTTTTTGCGGTTAAGAGCACGTACTCCTCTTGCAGCCGATACGAATTTAGTTTCCAGCATCCACATTGAGAGCATAACTATTTAAAACTACAGCTCCGGAGGATACTAAGCCTTCTTTTGGCCCTGCCCCCCGGCTCGTGGCACAAACAAAAGTACATATCTTTTTTTTTTTGGGGGGGGGGGTGTTTCGAGACAGGGTTTTTCTGTGTAGCCCTGGCTGTCCTGGAACTCACTCTGTAGACCAGGCTGGCCTCGAACTCAGAAATCCGCCTGCCTCTGCCTCCCAAGTGCTGGGATTAAAGGTGTGCGCCACCACCGCCCAGCCTTGTTTTTGTTTTCTTAATTTTAACATGACTTATACTGGAGATTTACAATTTCGTGGAAACTATTATGAGGGTTGGTAAGGCTTGCACAACACATTTTATGACATCAGTCTTGAGAAACACGTTAATAGTCCCCATCTTTACAAACATCACATTCTGTGTACATTGCCAGATTTTTTTTTTTTTTAATGTTCTTTATGTACTAACCCGGGGTCTTATGTTCCCCATCGATGTCCTTGTAGAGAATGCCAGGCACTAGGGACTGTCATCAAATTTTACACCAAAGTTCAAAAGCAATAAGCTTCTCAGGCATCTATCTGATGGCTTTGTTAACATACTAGGATAGAAAACTGACCCAAGAAAAACTGAGATCTTGAGGTCTGCAACGGTGATGATTAAGGCTCCCCCTGAACCCCAACCAGGATTTTGCAGCATAATTACAGGCTTTCTGAATTCTTGATCCCAACCACAGCGCTGAGTATCAGTGCTCCAGGTACAGGGGCTTTCAAGTATTTGGAGGCTGAGGTTTTAGTTCAGATATACTGTGCCTGCCTAGCATGCATAGAGAGAGCACTCTGGGTTCTGTCTCCAGCATCAAAGGCCCAACCCCAAACAATAAACCATTTAAGTGAATACCAGTTAAATTCAAAGTATGCCCTAAGTCATCCATGCAAAATATGTACAACTGTGGATATGTATGTGTGCAACTTACAGGGCTTTTTCTTTTGCATATTTTGCAGGTGTTTACAGTTGAAGAAATGATACCGCATATTCAACATTTGAAAGGAGCACATAGTAAGAACTTATTTCTTAAAGACAAAAAGAAGAAAAACTATTGGTTAGTCACAGTTCTTCATAACAGACAAATCAATTTAAATGATCTTGGCAAGCAGTTAGGAGTTGGGAGTGGAAATCTTCGGTTTGCTGATGAAACAGCCATGGTAGAAAAACTAAAAGTTGGTCGAGGTTGTGCTACACCTTTGGCACTCTTCTGTGATGATGGAGATGTTAAATTTGTTTTGGATTCAGCTTTTCTGGAAGGTGGACATGAGAAAGTATACTTTCATCCAATGACTAATGCTGCAACCATGGGATTAAGTCCTGAAGACTTTCTTGTATTTGTGAAGGCTACAGGACATGATCCCATAATTCTAAACTTTGACTAAAAACTGATTGGGAGCCAGGTGTGGTGGCACACTGCCATTAGCCAAGCACTTTAGGCAGAGCAGGCTGATCACTTGAGTTCTAGGCCAGCCAATGCCTAATAATCAGCTGTTGTGTCAAACAAAAGCCAATTGGGCTAATACTCTTAATAAACTCATTTTGACAACTGTTTTTATTTCTTGTGTCTTTAATTTGGAGACTACCATTCACTTTATAGATTTTTATGTATATGAGCATTTTGCCTGCATGTATAGATGTATACCAAATATATGCCTGCCTATGCCTGTGGAAGTAAGAGGACATTGAATCTCCTGGCACTGGAGTGGCTGATTGTTACGAGCCACCATGCAGGTCCTGGGAACTGAACCTGGGTCCTCGTAGGAACAAGTTGTTCTAACCACAGAGCTCTTTCCAGCCCCAGATTTAAGGATTTTTTTTTTTTTAAAGATTGGAATTGAGGTCATTTTAGTCAGCTGAGATTCAACTTCGTCTCCAATCTTCCATGTTGTAAGAAGGACTTCAACAACTGGGTTTCCTTTTAGGATTAATGAACTTAAACCTTTACTCTTTACTACACTTGGAATTTGTTTCCAGTGAGACATTAAAAACAAAACTTTTTATTAAACATTTTTTTGTCTTGTTGGGATAGGGTTTTATGTAGTCCAGGTTGTTCTCAAACTAGCTGTGTGCCCAAGGGTTCTTTCTGATCCTACCTCTATTTCCAAAATGTTGGGATTACAGGCAGGTACCATTACAACTGGCTTATTAAACTCAATGTAGAAAAACTAGAAGCAGAAATTGTTACCATTAAACCATTAAATTTATATTTTAAAGCTCAGCAGCAAAATACAGCTTATAGCATCAGAATTGGTTCAGATGACAGAAAGGCAGTTTATTTTATCCTCTACCCTAATTTACTATCTTATTTTAGGATAACTTTAGTAATCTTTGTTATGGTGAGTCTTGTTTGGGAACTTGATTTGATCCAGAAAGAAATATTCCTCTGGGCAGGTCTGTGAGGACATTTCGAGGCAGAACTAAATGAGGAAGACTCCAGAAGTTGCAGGAAACAGTTCCAGGCTGTTTTTGTTCTTGCTGGTGAGCCCCACTGCTGCCACTACCATCTTTTATTGACACTTGCCCACACAGACTGAAGACCAGAGGCTCTTCAAGAATCCTCCAGGAAACTGAACCTACTGGGGTCTCAGAATCTCCAACATGTAAAACAGACATTGTTCCAATACCCAGCCCAAACTGTAATATATGTTATGTTCCTTTAGAAAATCTTCACTGAGGATCTGACATAGACTAGAATACAGAAATTGCTCTTGCCATTATCTCCATCCCAGTCAACTGGGGTGTTTCTAAAAGAACTGTACTTTCCTGTTCAAGCTTTGAGAAATACTTTCCATCTGGTAGAGAAACTAATTTGTACCAACTTGTGTTATTGAAAGGCAAAATGAAACTAATGATTGCCCTTCTCCCAGAGGTTCCATGCTTGTCTTACCTGCTCTGGATTCTATCCCTAAAATAAACAAGTAGTTCTAGGTTTTTATGAACATAAAATGAAGGACCAGGAGCCGGGCGTTGGTGGCGCACGCCTTTAATCCCAGCACTCGGGAGGCAGAGGCAGTCAGATTTCTGAGTTCGAGGCCAGCCTGGTCTACAGAGTGAGTTCCAGGACAGCCAGGACTATACAGAGAAACCCTGTTTCGAAAAACAAAACAAAACACAACAAAAAAGATGACAGTCTTGTGTAGTAGGAAAAGAGTGTATTTATTACCTGGTGTTGTCAGAATCAGAATTTGTAGAACTTGGATATCTTGTTGATCATGAAAACAGGCTCCAGAAGAATGATGTGGTAAGACAGTCAGTAAGTACAAATAAAAGACTGAATAAATTTTTTTTGAGTTTATTTTTATTTTGTGTGTTTTGCCTGCATGTAGATGTGTAACCTGTGTCCACTCCCAATAGAGGCCAGGAGAAGGCACTAGCTCTCCTGGAGCTGGAGGTTACAGACAGTCATGAGCTGCAGCATGAACAGTGCTGGAAATGGAACCTGGCTCCTCTGAAAGAGCAGCCAATGCTGAACCATCGAACCAACACTCCAGCCCCACAAAGACAACAATTTTTGCAGCCTATCACATTCTTAGGAGTTTTAATTCCTGAAGTTTCAGTAACCTGTGGCTAAATGAACCAAAATTATTACATGAAAAATTGCAAAATTAAACAGTTCATAAGTTTTAAATGATATGCCATTCTGAGTAGCAAGAGATGTCATCACTGAATGACTGTCTAGCATATCCACAGCATATATCCTACCCACCTGCTGTCCACTTAGCCCTGTGGTCACCAAACGTGTGGCAGTGAATGGGATATCACGGCACTGGTGTTCAAGCCCTATCGACTGTATCAGTGCACTCAGTTCATCACCTCCTTATTTTATCTCACATCACAAGATGCACAGAGCACAAGACGTTCTGAGAAGGGGCTGGGACTACAGCTAAGTGGTAAAGTGCCATCTACATGCTTAAGGCCCTGAGTAAAATCCCCAGTAGCACCTCTTTCCTACTACCTCCAAAACTCCAAGGGGCTGGGAGTGGGGGACAACAAACTATCGTTATAGTTTTATTATTAGCTACCACTATTATTCTCACTGTTCCTCCTTTATAATTTAAGCTTTCTCTTAGTAAACAAACTTATTTTAGGATGGACAGAACTGACTCTCTATCCAAACAACTTAATAACTAAAATGACTAGGATAAAGTCTATGAAACCTAAAAACAGTTCTCCAGGACATAAAGTAACACTTGGCCAACATACAAGTTTAAAATGACTATAACAATTTGTTAAAAAAATTACCTTTTGTTTTTATTTTTATATCAGTTAGTCCAACATATATACTTTTAAGGAGAATCAAAGAAAATGAAAGTGACTGTAAAAGACAACTCAAACAATGGTGTCTTGTTGTACATGGACTCCTGTGATGGATATCAGGCGTCACCAAGGAAAGTCGTTTTGCCATTCAACTCTACCTCCCATATTAGCATTAATCTTAAAGGAAATGTTACAGCTTTTTATATTATTTGATTTGGTATTTAATAACAGTTGTGAGTACAATGGCAAACACTGAAAAAAAAACTAGTAGAAATAAAAAAAGACAATTTAAAATCAGGTTTGGTCAAAGGATGTTATAAGTGCAACATTACCCACTAAGCATTCCTTTTAAGGCGTTTTCATTGTCCAAACAGCTTAACCTGTATATCAAGGTTTATACTATAAAACGGGCTCTTCTTGTACTACTCATATTCAAGACTTAAAGAAAAAAATACATCTCAGGACAAATAGCTGAAAAGAAAGACAATTCACTTTTTTCATAAAAAGTAACTTAAAGTACAAAAGTAATTTAGAATACATAATTTCCCATTGCAATTCCAGATTTGGTACAGTATTGATTTTACTTCCTGACATAAACTGTTAAGACAGTTCAGGATGTAGTAATCCATTTGTGAGGTGGTTACAATTCTATAATATGCACAGTGATTTTTAAATAGGCTTTTAACATGCCTTGCATCAAAGGTGCTACACATGAACCTGTCTTTTGAACTCTTTGGTAACCACCAACTCAAAAACAAACCAAAACAAACCAAAAAAACAAACAAACAAAAAAACCAACCTTGAACCAAACCATTTCCATGGCCAGCTAGGAGGCATGTTACTAGAGCTCTGGGCTGATGCTATTATTCTGATTTTTAAAGTGTTCATAGAGGTTTAGGAATAGCACCAGATAGTGGGTTTAGGCTCTTTTAGAAAAGTGGTTTGGATTAATTTCCATTTGGCTTAGCTTCCTACAAAGTCTGCTTCTGAAGTAGATCTCAAAGGAAAAAAAATCATGTGGTTATCAGCAAGTCCATTTTTGAAGCGGTATGAGGAAGGCAATTAATATAATTGAGAATAATTTAATAGTCTCATTGTATTCCCTTGGTTTTCTCTTTTCTCTCCTCAGGGTTGGCCTACTCCCATTTAATACATGACAGGTCCTTTTAGGTAGGTGCTGGGTAACTCAGCAGCTTCTGTTTGAAGATTATTGATATCATAGAGAGGTCAAACTGCTTTACTACTCACCCTCATCAGGTCACCTCACATTCATTAATTGTCCTGGGATGTGTGCTAATTGTGCAAATTGGATGCTAGTTAATATAAATCTAACTTACCCACTTACTATATTAAGCTAAAACATAATTCTATACTTATCTTCAACTTATCAACCAACAGTGAATTTACATTTTTTTTTTTTACATGCAACTGTCTCTAGACTGCCATGATACCCATTTACCAATTTGATACTTGAATCTAAGGAGTCACGAAAAATATTTCAAAGTCTAGAGAATGGATTTTTAGTATATGTATTGTGTTTCAGTAAAAATCCTTTGTATTTACATTTAAATAGCACCTTTCATTCAAGAATTTCAAAGTAGTTTAATTTTATAGCATTATTTTCTGGCAGCACTGAGTTAAATAAATCCAAGTTCTCTAACTTTCAATTTCTGAGCAACTAAACATTTTTTGTCTTTTTTATTGACGGTCTTTCCAAAGGTCACTATAAACACAACCCACTAGTGACCTGTTACAGAGAGTGGGGAGAGAGGGAAACAAAAAGAGGAGGAAGGGGGTGCAAAGAAAAGAGACTTCTGTCATGGCTACTGGGTTAGTGATGATACACAGTTTGTAAAACACACATTAGGGAATTATTCCAAAAAGTTCTTTAGAGCTGGTAATAAGAGCTTAAGAAGTGTACTGTTAAAATAAAAATAGTATTTTTTCATTTCAAAAGATTATTCTGGTTTTTATGTTAAATAATGAACTTGCCCTAATGTGTAGCAATGTGTTTTTTGACTTCATAAGAAAATAAAACTGTGATATAAAATTGCTACGACTAAAAAACTGGTGTTTCTCTGGGATAACTAAATCTACTTTTTTGTGCTTCTTTCAAATGTTTAAGGTAACAAACATATATAAATATTTCAAGATTACCTATAATAGTTACCAAGTTTAATGTAATATTATAAAGGACAAAAACAGAAAAATTCTTAGTAATAAATGACCTTAATAGTATATGAGTTCCTGAAAAAAATGTAGATCATAGAAATTATTTACATTATTTTGCCATAAGAA